GGTTCAGGGCCCTCCGCCTCCCTCTCCCGGCCCAGGGACTCCTCAGCCCGTTCCGGAGGTTTTCCTTTTGCCCGGAGGGAAACGAAGCGACTGAGGGAAGGTGCCCTGAGGGAAAGGGAGAGATGGAGGGAAAGTGCCCGGAGGAGAATGGAGAGATGGAGGGAAAGTGCCCGGAGAGAAATGGAGAGACTGAGGGAATGTGCCCGGAGAGAAATGGAGAGACTGAGGGAATGTGCCCGGAGGGAAATGGAGAGACTGAGGGAATGTGCCCGGAGGGAAATGGAGTGAGAGAGGGAAGGTGCCCAGAGGAAAATGGAGCGACTGGGGGAAAGTGCCCAGCCAGTGCTTGTGAGGGAACAAACCCATCTTGAATCTTGCGCTTTATCTCCTCGGCAGTTCTTCAGCTCTAAAGTTCTACAGCAGGCAGCCGCCTCTCACCGAGTGGCTTTGCCTTAAGATTTGATACTAGAAACCACCCAAGCTGGACTTAGTTTGGGTTTTTTGTTCAGTTTCTAATGTGAAATGATCCCTCAGGCTATTCCTAGCGCAGCGCTTGGGGCTTTGGTTGCCCCCGAGTCTGATCAGAACGTCAAAATTAAGAATCAAAGTGCCAAAGCAGGAATGTAAAAAAAAAAAAAAAAAAGGTTTATGGGGCCAGAAGTTTAGAGACTGAAGACCAGAGCACAGTATTTACCACAGTGAACGGCCCCCCACACTATCCTTGGCCTATGTTGGGGTTACTTGTGAGTTTGGGACCATTGACTCAGAGGCTCTGATGTTCCCAACCCACCCCGCGTGAAACTGCTCCTGACTCTGCCCATAGCCATGTCAAAGTCCCCGCAAAAAAACAGCACAGGCATTTCGGGTGAGCTTCTGTTCAGCTATTTCAGCCTGGCTGTGAAAAGATGTGTGCAGGCTGCTGTTTGCTGAGGATAAATAACAGCTACAGGGACAAAAATAGGTGAAGATAATGATATTAAACAAAGGCTGCAGATATTCTTCATGACTATGTATTTTAAAACCTTTATCCGTCTTGCTAAAATACCGAACGGCAATGTCTATATGTACAATAGATAGCCTCAAACTGGAATAAACGATCGCCCAACTAATTAGCAAAACAGGGAGAGCAACAGAAAAATCCCTGGCCGCCTCATACAAATCTGAGATCTGTTTTGAATGGAAAAATCCAACCAGCTTTCAACTCACACAATGGCATCCAGACTGTATTATAATGAAAGTGATGAATCTCAGCTTTAAAGAGGATGGTAATTTCTAATCCCTGAGCTTGTACATACACACGCAGGCAGAAACATCCACGCACTTTCATCTGTGCTGGAAGAACCAAAGAGAATAAAAATTGTATTGATCTGACCTTTATGAAACCACATAAAGCAGAGGCCACAAGAGGTCACCTTGCCCCTTCTCCTGGGCTGAGGCGATCAGCGGGGCTAATTCCCTTTCCTGCCTTCTTCAGAACCCCCCAGCGTTTGATAATTGTGTTAAATAAGTCAGACTTTTTGCTCACACACAGATACTGTTGACTGTTCCTGACAAATCTGGGAACTCAGATGGAAACAGGAGCCTGGCCTAGAGCTGAACCTTATCTGTAGTTTGTGTATGGAAATGGCACCGAACATCTTATTTCATCTCATTTCGTCACAGTTCTGTCCACGGCTGAGGTAAGGCCTCATTGTGACCTTTTGCCCTGGATTCAGATGCCCCTGGCCCTAGTGTTTGTCCGACTCCTGGTTTTAGTTGAGGTCCGTATTACCCAGGATGCATTTTCTTAAAATGTGGAGATTTACATTCGGGCTCTTCTCTGAGTCTTTAACTCATTAAAACTTGCAGTGAATGGTGGTTTATGCTGTTCTTCCGTTTGTGGTGCTCGATGGGCGGAGGATCAGAGCTAAGCCCACTGTAATTAGCCTCATTTATCCATGCCACATTACACTGCTGTGTCCTGCAGCAGATGTGATCTGTTCAACTGGACCCGCAAGCCCAGATGTCTTCCTCCCTCGCGTGATTGCACTGGCTTCAGAGGAGTTCCTGCAGATTTACTGATGGCTGATGGGCAGCCGCAAATCCACTGCCGACAGAAAATTAAAAACTAGATTACGTAGCTAACAGGATTGATGCCAATCCTTTTGACACCGCCGGCATGGAATCGCACGGCGCGTCCTGGACGGTCTGATTTTCTCCTGCCGTGCCCACACCCCGGTGGCGATCCCACCCTCCGGTGACCGGCAGCACCCCCAGCTCCTGGCTCACCCGCAGGCGTTGCCTTGAGCTGGTGGCCACTGTCCCAGCCGGCTCAGCCCCCAAACCCACGCCTCACACAGGGCCACGCGTGTCTTCCGCCAACCTAACACTGAGGAGAAAGCCCCGGCGGGCAGCGGGACCCGCGTCTCCCCGCCCCACCGGCAGCCTGCGGGGGCCCGCACCTCACCGCCGCCCCGGGGAGGGGACGGGGCCCCGCGGACCCAGAGCGCAGCGGCCCTTCGCTCCGCTCCATCCCGCGGGCGGTTCC